ATTCGTAGTATTCTGGATTGGAAACGCATCTTAATACAAGGTAGATGTAGGAGTCTATGGGCCACACCATACACTTACTATATATGTACTGTTTCACCCTTACTTATATAAAAAGCATTACTTTGAAATTTTGAATTGAAACTATATTTAGCAGGTAGGATGGCCATTGCCGAGTCAATAACCTTGAACGAATGCTCCACATCATTAGTAAAATAAATAAGGATCAGCATTTTTGTATGCTTTGGATATTCCACCATCAGTTTGTAATAAGAGCCTTTTCAGCAATTTCACTGACATTTTAGATTATTCTCTAAAGAATTGTTTTGAAATGTTTTAATGCAATTTTAGCTCAAGTAATCTGCTCGTCTTGAGCCAAATCTACATTTTTATTTCAAGTCAGCCCTCGAAAAATCTGAGCTTTAACTTTTCATAATTTCGTGCATTTGCCGAAATCGCCACTCTTGCTAGAAGATTTTCGATCGCAGCGACAAATGTATCGCATCTTGTACGCTGCTCTTCGTCGTCAGTGTAATTTTTCATATAAGACATATTGCTCTCTCTGTTTATTTAAATTAATTTTTTAGCCGAATTCAAAGAAAGAAGATTTACAATTTGACTGTATATTCTCTTTTGTAAGATTTTGATGATTCTTTTTTCTTTTCTTGTGATCCCATATTATTTGATAAAAATGTTCAACCCTAAGGGTGGCAAAAAGGCATTATATTTTAATAAAAAACTTTAGACAAAACTGATATTGTGATATTCCTTAGTCCATTCGAAATGGGAATAAAAAGCTTTTAATATTTGCTTTTAATTAAAGGCGAAGTGTGGGGCGTCCCCCCACTAGATGGAGTGACGACCTGGTAAGATATGCAGGAAGTCGATGGATGCAGGTGGCTCAAGACCGTGCTTTGTGGCATTCTTTGGGGGAGGCCTATGTTCAGCAGTGGACTTGTGAAGGGCTGTAATGATGATGATAATGATGAAAAGCTTTTACCATTTGGAGTGGACTAAGAAATAACTTTTTTATTAAAAGCTTTTTTTACCATTTCGGATGGACTAAGGAATACCACAATCTCGATTAAGGCTAAGGATAATCAAATAATTTCACATGTTGCATTCGGGGCTTCAATTATTTACATTATGACCTAGCACCGAATTTAGAATATGAAATTACCGTTACCGTTAGAGCCTTTTAAAGTCCACTGTTGAACATAGGGGGAGGCCCCTTAGATTGCCCCATAGTGTGGATATTTAACATAGTTGCCACGTTTGGCAAGTGGTTTAGCAACCGCAGTTATTTATTTTAGTCGTTATTAGGAAGACGCTGATGCCCATCTCCTGATTTATCTTCCTATGTCGCCTCTTACGACACCACGGGATAAATGATGTGAAATTATTATTTTCTTTTTAGTAATTTGAAATCGTCTTTTACTTTTTAGTTAAAATTAATTTTATCTTTTATCACACACAAAGTTATTATAATTTAAGTAAATTATTTAAAGATGCGAATAAATAGTAAATAAATGTGTAGAAATATGTTAGTTAGTATTTAGTAGTAGTAAGTATTTAAAATAAAAAATACCCTCTTATAAATTGCTATGCCCCTACGGGGCGTCACTTGATATATATTTCTTGTGGCTTGCGAAATATATGCATAAATAAAAATTGCGGTGCCAAGCGGCGCAACTAAGGAAAATATGAGACAATCTATGGGGGAGGTCTATGTACCGTAGTGGAAATTATAAAAGATGTAATGAATTAATGATTAAAAGGAATTAGTTTAAACTCATAGTAAATTCATAAGATTAGATAAACATAATATATTCAAAAACATTTACTATCAACTAATTAAGGTTTAATAACAGAACAAGAAAAAGACGTGGCCCTTCACTGCTGGCCGTATGAGGACGCTCAAGGTCGCTCAGCGAACTGTGGATAGGGCTATGCACGGGGTTTTCCTGCGTGATAAACTTAGAAATGAGTATATCCGCAGTAGAATCAGAGTAACCGACATAGCCCAACGGATAATTAAGCTGAAGTGGCAATAATATAATAATAATAATAAATTCTTTATTTCAGATAATTGAAATCCATATGTGGGTTAGTAACACAATAATAATAACAAGGGTTAGTAACAGTGGTAGTACAATTGTTTGCTTAAATTCTAGGGAAATAAAATAACTACACTGTGCCGAGACAGATCATCATGGGGGTGGATAGGGCCCAGTAATCAGTCTCTGCACAAGACATTTCCACAGCGGCGATGTTTATCTATCAGTTACGGTACTCAGAAATGAGCCGGCCATATAGCTAGAAGAACCGACAACCGATGGGGAAAACTGATTTTCGAGTGGCAGCCTCGTACTGGTAGGCGAAGTGTAGGGCGACCTCCCACTATATGGAGTTGGCCCAGGACCGTGGTTTGTGGCATTCCTTGGGGGAGACCTATGTTCAGCAGTGGACTTGTGAAGGGCTGTAATGATGATGATGAATGAGAGCAGAAGAAGGGATTAAAATTTTTTTTTATAGGATATTGGTGACAAACGAGCACACAGTCCACCTGACGGTAAGTGGTTGCTGCGGCCCATAGACATCTACATCTATCCTCTATCACAAATCAAAATGTAGATGCGTTGTCACCCGTGAGGACTAAGATGGAATGCCTCATTTCCAGGCCTCCGGCCACCTGCACTCACCAAGCGAAACGCAGAGGTAAACCTCTACTTCACGCTGGTTTTCTGTGAGGTCGTGGTACCATCTATAGGTACATATATTTGACTGCTGATCATGAGTTCCCGGGTTCGAATCCCAGGCCGGGGCAGATCAATAATTGGGTTTTTTTGTCAAAAAATTCTCAGTAGCAGCCCGTAGTCAGTTAGTTGGAAGTGTTTCACACCCGTGCCTCGAAAAGCACGTAAAGCCGTTGGTGCAGGACTGATTTCAGCAGACTATGAGAGTGAGGGAACAGAGAGTGCACTTGTGTTTGCGCATGCACTCGGGCACTACAATCCTTAACCGCGCAGGTGGTTAGTCTCTCTTGAGACTGGCCGCCGTAACCGAAATTTGGTCTGGAGGACATTATTATTATTATATATGTTTTACTAGACATTTTCTGCCACGTGTGACGTATGTCGGTCGGTGCGGGTTTGGCGGATGGAAGCTAGGCGACAAAAAGGTGTAAGATTTTTTCGTCACTACCTCTTGTGTCATAGCGTATTTTATTTTAAATGACGCTTCATTTTAATAGACACTAATAATTTATTTATATGTTTTTTTATTATATACTATGAAAGGAACTTCGTTCCAACCGAGTGTTCCACGACACTCACGCATGTTTCTTTTTTATTTCTAAACAGTCTGCAACTCACCTGCAATTCCTGAGATTTTGCAGATGTAAACCACATAGTCCGTCGGTACTATAAACGACAGTCTAGGAGATCGTCATCTCTATCAATGTTCATTTTTCTTATAAGAAACTAACCATCATCAATATTATAATAAATCAATAAATTAGATTAAGGTGCCCGCCAGCTACTGACGACATCAGAATTGACAGTTTATAATAAATCATAGGTAATTTAGGTTATTTCTTGTTCGATGTATTAAGGATAATTAGATTGAATGAAGCCTATATAGCGCATTGGTTGGCATTTCGTTTGGATGCTGAGTGTTGCGGGTTCGATTCTAACCAAAAATTCCTTATTTACTTTAGTAAAAAATAAATATTTACCCATATTTGATCCAAATAGGGTTGTAAACATTATTTTTGTGAAGCTTATCTTAACTCAATTTACAAAATTCCAAAAACGTATAATATATATAATATGTGTACTACCCAACACCTGTCTGTAACATAATCCGTACGAGGATATCCGTTCTGAGCTTGTCAATCTGTCATCCATACTAAGCAAGAATACCCATACTAACTACTCTAGTACCAAGTAATACTTGCCTGCTGTCGCATTCATGGAGATCTACCAGCACCAGACTTCAGAAGACTGTGGGTGTGATATGGAAACTGTGATTTAAATTAGCTCTAAGCAGAAGAAAGTCAAGTAATAAATATTCAATTCATTTTTTCTTCTCACTACGACAAAGTGCAGGTTATTTTAAGTGTATAAAATTTAGTAAATAATGATAATGAAATGCGGTTAAATAGTTAAGTTTTCGTTACTGTGAATAATAAAATGAAAATCTAAAGGTAACCGTGGTATACTTGGTAGAGCCATGCTGCAGCTATATTTCTGGTATAGTTGTAACACGAATGTGTCGGCTCGACTGTGGAAGGACCACGCTCTCACAGAATACCAGCGTAAAATAGCAACTTAATGCTGCTGTGTTTCGTATGGTGACTGTAGAGAACCGGAGACCCTTTTTACTGGAAACGAGGAATTCAATCTTAGTCCTCACGGGTGACAACGCATCTGCGTTTTGATTCGCAATCGAGGATAAATGTGGATGTCTATGGGCCACAGCAACCACTTACCATCAGGTGGACTGTGTGCTCGTTTGTCACCTTTATCCTATAAAAAAACCTTTCATGTAATACTTAGGACTACATTTTTACTGCATCGCGCCTTTATCATGCAATAGCGACTACCCATATGTGGGTTTCGTAAATGGCGACAGAGGGAAACAAACCCGGTGATGGGCATCCGCGTTTTCCTAATAACAAATGGTCTAAGAAACCTTCGATTACCAATCCGCTCATCATGCGTAGCAACTATATCGAATATCTTCCCCTTGAGGTAATTTATGAGGAGGCCTAAGTTCAGGAATTAATGAATATAGAAATCCTCGAATACACCAAATTTGTCTTAATAACAGATAGCGAATTAAAATCACCGTCTATAGTCCGCATCAATGAGCTTACGCCTACTGCACGCACTATCTAACGCGTACATTTAGATCTTCCGTTCCAAGAGATCCTACGACCTTGACACTGGAATAATTCAAATCAAACACCTATATAAGTCGGGCCCAGTACTGCAACCAACATTCTTCGATCGATATTTGAAGAGATAACAACATGAAATCGGTACGTCTGTTACAAAATCCAGTGAACTAGTTCTATAGTGATATTGAGAGTTCATCACGAATTTGCTTTAACGTTTTTCATCCGTAACCCGTTACACTTATTTAGGGTCTTTTATTAAGTGCACATTTCATAATTTTTCTCTGTTCGAAATAGTTATATAAATTGAGTTTTGTTAAAAACGGATTGTGAAAAATCGTGATTTAAAAAACAATACAACATTACAATCAATCCTTAATCTTGATTTCAAAATTTTCTAGTTTCTATTTAATACTACAATAATAGTTTCAAGTAAATAAATATAAAAATAACTTAAAGAAATACATAAATGTTAATAATATTTGGATGACATAAGAATATAAATTCGACTTCAATTATCACTGGATCTAGTTGTAATTTATTGGGATTGTGTGGAAGTATTATCTTTCATTAAAAAACCTCAAAAATATTGTGTTACATATATTGATTTAAAAAAAAATAAGATTATCCCGTCGGATCCATAAGTTGGTACTCTTTTTTTAAGTGTCACAAATATGTTTCAGTTACTAACGTCATTTTTAAAACGCTCGCATAATTGATTTTTGATCTTACTCTCCTATAAATATTTTTAATGTTATTGTCTTTAATATCTTATAGCGTTGACATTTATTTGCTAAGATTTTACATTTAAGCCTTCTGATAAACATTCTCATAAACGTAAATAAAAAAAGATGTAAAATTTCTTAATATATTTTCTTTATAATTAAAAATAGTATTACTATTAAAATACTAATTGCCATTGATTTCTTTTTCTTTGACCTATCAAATAAAGTTTAAAATGCTTCTGCTAAGTAGGTTCACAATTAAAGACAAATGGTCGTTTTGAAATTTCATATTTCAAACTCTTAACTAATAACGGCTATTGTGACATGTTATTTAACTGAGTTATGAATTATGATTGTTATTTTCACAAATAATGATATAACCTTTTGGGAACGCTTAACAAAGTAGAGGCTAAGGAATTATCTCTATGTTTCAGATCATCTTAGTCGCTCTCATTGGAGTGTGCGCTGCTGGCGCACTCCCAGCGTACGTTCCACAGTACCGGTACTACCAGGACCTAAGACCCAGGGCTGCGTTGGAAAGAAACGCCGCTATCCTGAGGTCAGATTCCGAAGTCAACGACCAGGGCTACCATTACGCCTTCGAAACGGAAAACGGTATATATACAGATTTTACTCGTAGCTTACTTTGAGTTTTTTTTTTGCCTCTTTTTTTCACATTGTGCGATGTATTGTTGAAGTGGAGGTGTAATTAAAAAAATATCATAAACAAGTTTGGGAACAAATGTAATCGGTGAGATGTGTACTGCATGGCTTGAGCTTCACCATCTTAACTAGGTGGTAGAACTCTTTCTCTGTCTAGAACTCTGTAACAAAACGTCGGAAAATGGCGGGAACTGTATCGCCGCAATGGATAACGGTTACTGACAATAGATATTTGACACATAGCCCAGATGGATTTTTTGACTGTTGAAGGGCTAAGGTGTTGCGATCAGAAGTGTATATACATGTAGTGTAACTACAGGCTTTGAGGTATTCTGTCTTAGTATTTAGAATTGACAACGCACCTGTAGCGTTTATTTGAAGTTGGTTGCAGTTGTCCGTATGCCGCAGTAGACACTTACCATCAGATGGAATTAAAACTCGCCTGTAACATTAGTTTCATAAAAAAAGAAAACCGGTGTTTCCGTAACAAATATTATTTCATTCGAGGTCAAAAATCAAACAAGTCCACAATCTGAAAACTACTTTTAAGGTAATGTCATAACCCTATCTAAAATTTTTAATATAGAAGCAAGCTACAGCTAATTACGATTTATTACGATAAGTTACTCAAACGTTACTCAATAAAAAGAATAACCATGTTAAAGATTTATAAATTGTATTACATAGCAAACTTTAAGAGCCGTAATATTTTATTATGATAAAAATTAATATCTTCTATTTCACTTAAAGATCTGTGGGCTGAGCAGGCATCCTACATCTTTTATAATACAATTGATATCTGTATATTTTTGCAGTAACCAATGATTATACTTTTTCTTCTTAGCCAACTTTAGAAAAGGGGGCGGTTTTCATTCGACTGTATGCTTCGTTTCGTCAAAATTTTTCTATTAGGCGCGTTTGGATGGGTAAAATGTAACGAAGTCACGTCCCTGATATGCTAATGTTAACAGTATATCTGAAGCTATAATATAATCTAAATAATAATGAATTACTACTATTACTTAAATTCCTAGTTATACTACAAATTTGTAATATAACTGCAAAGTAAGTGTAATGTAAGTGATGTTACATTATTAGTTTTAAGTCAATTCAATAAAATGTCCTTATTTTAAAGTTAGATATAAAATTCCAGGTATTCAAGCCGAAGAGACCGGACGGGAAGCAAATGGAATTCAAGCTCAAGGCGGATACTCATACGTTGGTGATGACGGTCAGGTGTACAGTGTGAGGTACACCGCCGACTCCAACGGCTTCCAGGCGCAAGGTGCCCATCTCCCCACCTCGCCGCCTGTCCCAGAGGCTATCGCTAGATCTCTCCAAGAGAATGCCAGAGATGAAGCCAATGGTATTTTTGATGACGGTGTGTATGATTTCGCATTATTAATATAATACTCTTCTCCTTTTTCGACTGCTAAAAGTCCACTGCTGGACTTAGGCCTCTCCTGTTGAAGGGAGGAATCACCTTAATAGTTTTGCTTAGCAGATGGATTGACAATTGCAGAACCAGATGTTTCACACATTTGACATTACTGCCCGTTGCCGGTATGGCTATTTTACGTCTGGTTTAAACGAGAACGCCATCTATCCGAAGCTATAAGATTTTTCTCGTATTTCCCATATCTATTTTCTGTGATGTTGGTGTTGTTAGTCTATACGGGTCTTACGGTTTCATCTGACAATATTTCCCATAGTCAGCTCTTACTACAAACCGGGACGAAATGAGGTCGTGGGTCCTCTTACCTGTTATAAAATATATTTAGTAATATAAGCAATCTTATTTGATAATTAACAGAATCAGACATTAGTCTGCGCAAAATTCATTACACTGTGTAAATTTCAAATAACTAAGATACACTTGAAAAATAAAATGGTTTATCTGACTTATTTTAAAGAGCACTTCCTCCCTTTTTGCAATTTGGTGCACTGTTATTCTCAGCATTAAACGCAACACTACTGTACAAGAAAAAAATACACCGCCGTCGATAATGAAAGGTGTTTTGCCGTTTAACAAGGCACCATCGGGAGAAATAAACTCTGCGATAAATAACCAACCCGATCATTACAACTTTAAAACTTTAAAGCTATATTGCTTCAAAACAAAGATCACTAAAGAAATCTAATTAGAAACGTATGGTACATTTGTACGCAAGTAGCTAGAATTTAACTTTCAAAGACCCGGATGTAGGTACTAGATTTTTGGAGATATGCTATTTCAGAATAAAATTACAATTTGAAATAAGTTTGACTCTACAATCAATTATTAACAATTTAAGCGTTTGAGTGATAAAAATTATATCGTTTAACAATAGAATTGTATATTTTTGTTTTTATATAAGAGGGGGCAAACGAGCAAGCGGCTCACCTGATGGTAAGTGACTACCGCCGCCCATGTACAACTGTTACAGTTGTTCACCAGGGTAATTGCAGATGCGTTGCCGGTCTTTAAAAAGAGTAGGCTCATTTTTTGAAGGTTCCTAAGTCGTATCGGTCCAGAAAAATCGATGATTCTAGTCGATTCCACAAGGAAGTTGTGGAATTGTCTTTTATTCTTCCTTTTTGCTGTTTAAAAATAATTAATGTTATACTCACGATTGGAACGATTATATACTTATTTAAAATATAATTTATATTCCAGGAAGCTACCATCAGGGAAAATACACGGACGCTTCAGGGTCAGGGGTAGTCATAGCGCGTAATCGTTACAACCTTCCCTACAGACAGTACCTCGGCTCCGGTTTCAGGAACTATTAGTAGAGGCGCATCGATGAATTTTATGTTACGTGCCATCGGAATATGTAGTTTAAGATTATACATAATATCGTCTTCTGTTTAAGCAATATAATAAATAGTTTTTTGTATTCTTTTACATGGATTTCTTATTACTGCTATATCATAACTCCCTTTGTTTTCATGTTAGTAAATAAAATATCTAGGTGTTGGTCTTTGATACGAGCAAATAGATTTTCTTGCGCGTCCTCTTTTTGTATTTTACGTTATTGTTGTTTTAATTTGCTATGGGTGGTATAGGAGAATCCACTATCCCGTATCGACCCGTGGAAACTGAAATAGGTATGTACCGGTTTGCAGCAGAATTTTAGTGTTCAGAGTTCAATTAAAAACAAAACATTCGATTGTTAACCCACTTGTCAAGCGTGGCAAATATGGAAAATATCATACTTATGACACAATCTATGGGGGAGGCCTGTGTTCAGCAGTTAACTTTTGATAGGTTGAAATGAATAAATAAATTTTACCTACAAAGGATGCCGTTTCCTGCACATGGGTCTGGTTATTAGTCAGTAAACGTTGTAGACATGTGTATACTACTTTTATGATTAATATTGATTACGTCATCTACGTTTATGATTTTCAAATAAAAATGATTTTTGTTTTAGACATGTACCTATGATAGCAAAGCATTAGCGCATTTTCAAAAATTATTAAATATTTGAGTGTCTACATAACAGCTTTGATTAGTTAATATTGATAATCAAATGTGTATATATTATGGTGAGAAAATTCTCAGGAAATTTATGTTTTACAAAATATTTCGTGTTTTAATTACATACAGATATATACCATATACTTTAACTTTTATGGGTCGTATTACCTTCTTTGTCCCAAGTTTTTCGGGATCAGCATAGCATGTCTTCCTCTTCCATTTTCCTCTATTAGGCGACATCTTTTCACTCACCTCAAAGATCGTAATATCCTCAGTCACTAATACAATTCAGCAAATTAAAGTTACGGACACAGAGTAATGAGTCACCAGACAACGCAAGAAAATCGTCTATATCTGTTCCCAAGCCATTTATATCTGTTCTCGAAATGCAAATATGTTGACAACAGAGAACCCCTGAGAACTAAGAAATGTTTCGATAGGAGAAAAAAGATCTCCGATTGTGCTCACGTATTATACTAAGCTCTATTACGCTATTATTTTTCGTGCATTTCGTTTGCGTTTTGTTTCTTTCCCGATTGAACCGACTCTTTTTAGAAAAAATATCGTGCTCCAGACATTTTTTCCAAAATTATAATATGATACAGAAATCGATATTTCTTTTAATAATAAAAAAGCCGGTTATATATAATGTCAATTTTTTTTATGAAACTGAAATGACAAAGTAACTTAGAGTCCAAATGATGGTAAGAGGCTTCTGAAATTAGTACCATTTAAAATGACAAATTCATTAGATTTTTTATAGGATAAGGGTAAAAAGCGAGCACACAGTCCATCTGATTGCAAGCAGTTGCTGTGGCCCATAGCCATCTACATCCATCCTCAACTACGAATAACAATGCAGATACTTTGTCACCCGTGAGGACTAAGATGTAATGCCTCTTTTCCAGTAAAACTGGTCTCCATTTCTCTACACTCATCATACGAAACACAGCAGCGTTAAGCTGCTGTTTTACGCTGGTATTCTGTGAGAGTGTGGTCCTTCCTTGGTCGAGCCGTCACCCATTCGTGTTACAGCTATACTACTGATATAACTGCAGCATGGCTCTACAACGTAAAAATTATTATATATATATATATATATATATATATATATATATATATAAATGTACGACACGATATTAAAAAAACGATATTTTTCTCCTCTCTTGTTTCATTTTCTAACTCTGTTCAGTAAGATATAAGGGAGTAGAAAGTGAAACAGGCTGAGGAGGACATAAATAATAACTAACGTTATAAGGATACTAAAAGTATAAAAAGTTAAGTAATTTTAATACGTTATAAAGCTATCCTGCAGCTATAAAATGGTTGTATCACAAATGGGTCGGCTCGACTGCTAATGAAACACGCTCTCACAGAATATCAGCGTAAAATAGCAGTTGCATGCCACTGTGTTCCGTGTGCTCAGAGTAGAGAACCGGTGTATGGGTCACAGCATCCCCTTACCGTTGAGTGGAATGTGTGCCTGTTGGTCATCCTTATATTATAAAAAATCGTTGAAAATAATCACCTACAAGGACTTTTGGAAATAAATCTTAAAGGAGAATGGGATTTTTGGGCCTGAAGTTAACTAATTGGTTTATACTTTAAAAAATTGGTAATATTTTCATAAAGTATAATACAAAAAAGTAGCTCTTTTTATAAATCTAGAATTCACAAAAAAACAATAAAATAAGAAATAAGTTAGAAAATCGATTGTGGTGTATTCTTTATGGCAATAAATCGATTATCATAAAGAATACACTAGTGCAATCTTCTTATTTTGAAACTTGACTTGATAGTTCAAACTTCAAACTATTTACCAAGGAGATTATAATATAAACAACCTCCTTGCTATTTACTTAAAAGAGAAGGCAGATTTTCGATTCAATTTGAAAGGAGTGCATACATTCTTGGGCCCAAATGTAAGGAGTTTCATTGGGTAATCCAATATCCTTCACAAGTCTATTGCTGAACATAAACCCCCCCCCCCCCCTTCCAAGGAATGCCACAAAACACGTTTCTGAGCCACCTATATCCATAAACATATATTTTTTTTTATATTTTTAATTTATTTTGTTAGAATAAGGGTGACAAACGAGTACACAGCCTATTGATGTAACTATAATGTAGAAGTAGATGTTGTGGCTCATAGAAACCTATCGACTAAGAATCAAAATGTAAATGCTAAAACTCGTGATAACTATTATAGAATGCATTATTACCAGTCAATAGGGTGTCCAGTCACTCACCATATGAAACACCTGCAGTATGTATGGCATAAATTTGATATTTACATTGATATTTTATGAAAGCGTGTTCCTTCGTCGCCCAAGTTAAGATATTTGTGCTGAAGACCAAGACGAAATGCCTCGCTCAAATATTAGCCCTGTCCCAGTAAGCCACCCTATTGGTGCTGCAGCTATAGCATGGTTTTCCCATTAGGTTGTTTTCCACTTACCGGCACGGCTCCGGCACAGCAACGACACAGCTGCCAGTGAAACCAAAATGAATAAAATGTATGAAATATATGGCATGTTTTTCTACTTACCGGCGCCGGCGTCTTCATTCTTCGTCTTAAATGTAAGAGATATAAAAAACAAATACGATGACTTGACGAAATCATTTTTACTTGCTGTAGAACTTAAGTCTGTATACTACGCTCAGTTTTTGGGCAGTACTAAACTGCCCAAAAACCGAGCGTAGACCGGCATCGCCATCGCCGCAGTGGAAAAACGAAGTCATGGCGCCGTCGCCGCGCCGTTGCCGTGTCGGTAAATGGATAACCGCGCATTAAATAGAAATAGCGTTGCAGGTATGCTTACGATGTTTTCTATCACCGGCGAGTACTTGGTAAATCAGCACTTGCACTTAAGTATGATCAAAATTAATTATTTATTATGCTCGTATTTACCACTTATACTTACACGAATGTTACACATTAGATAAAACTAATTTACAGATTTCATCGCTTTTAATTTAAGTTATAGTTCACTTATTGTAATTCCCGACGTTTCGGGTGCTTAAGATCATCCATGATTACGGTTGTTGGGAGGAGGGGTGACATCCAAATGTCATCATCAGCTTATGAAGTTATTAAAGATCTGTAAAATTAGTTTTATGCTTTGATCAAAGTTTGAACTAAACCTCTTAAGTACACCAATGTAAAATAATTTTATCTAGAACTATACGTTCTGTAAAAATGTAATCTGTACTCATTCAACACTTTAAGTATCCATTGTTTTACAATACAACATAGATAAAGCATTGTTTGGATTTTGTCCGACACAATAGACACCCACAGATTGATCGTTATGTTGGTGCTGGTAACCTAATTATCCTGATACAACTTGCTGAAATAAATACACACATTATGTACGTGTTTCTCACCATTAATAGCCGTAAGAAAGTCGGCATGTACCTACTAAGGGCATAGCGAATATTTTATATACAAAAATTCTTAAGGTTACAGCCCATACACGTCCCAATGCTGGGAATAGGCCTCCTTTTCAATTCTCAGAGAAATATGGAGTAATTTCACATGCTCGAAAATGTTTAATCTTCAGACGTGCAGGTGCCTTTACGATGTTTTCCTTCGCCGCTGAACACGTGTTAAGCACCATTCAAAATTGCTATACAATTTCATTGCCGCTGGCTGCAATAGAACCCGGGTTGTGAGCAAACTGTGAGTTTTAATAAGCAAGTCAAATTTTCAGAATGTTAGCTTGCAAAAGAGAAACAAATACCTAACACCAAGACTACAATACAGCTGTTTTATATATATATATATATATATATATGAAAGATATTTCCTGAGTATCCAGAGTAGTATGTTTATCTGGACAGGTGTTTCGACTCTCGAAACTGTCTGGATACTCAGGAAACATCTTTCAATACTTACTCAAGTAACACGTACAAAATACAGCTTTGATACTATAGATAACGTAAGTATAGTTAGAATTTATTAAAGCTTAAAGGCTGTCCGGCGCAAGGTTGCCATGATACTAGGTATCTGAAAACGGATGACGTGATTTCTTATATTATTCCGAAGAAAATATAAGAAAACTACACTTTATACTGTGACAAATTTTAGTTGCTATTTTATAGACCTTTGCTACTTGTTACTAGTAGCCCATCGTTCCTTTTTTTTATAGTATAGGGTATCAAACGAGTACACAGTCCACCTGATGGTAAGTGGTTGCTGTGGACCATAGACATCTATATTTATGCTCGTTTGCGAATCAAAATGCAGATGCGTTGCCACCCGTGAGGACTAAGATGGAATGCCTTCTTTTCCAGTAAAAAGGGTCTCCGGTTCTCTACACTCACCATACGAAACACAACAGTGTTAAACTGCTATTTGACGCTGGTATTCTGTGAGAGCGTGGTCCTTCCCCAGTCGAGCCGACCCATTCGTGCTACAACT